CACTCACCAGTTCTCATCTTCCCACTCCCCAGCTACTCTGCGTACTAAAGTTGTATTACCAAGTCGCCACTTCTCATCTTCCAGCTCCACAGCTACTCCGCGTACTAAAGTTGTACTACGCAGTCGCCAGTTCTCAGCTTCCAGCTCCACAACTGGCGACTTGGCAGTGCAACTTTAGTACGCAGAGTAGCTGGGGAGTGGGAAGATGAGTGGTGAGTGGGCAGTAGCTGCGAAGTGGCGACTTTGCAGCACAAGTGTAGTGCGCGGAAAAGTGGGGGAGCTGGAAGATGAGAAGTGGCGACTTGGTAGTACAACTTTAGTACGCAGAGTAGCTGGGGAGTGGGAAGATGAGAACTGGTGAGTGGGTAGTAGCTGAGAACTGGCGACTTTGTAGTACAACTTTAGTAGTGCGCGGAGTAGCGGGGGAGCTGGAAGATGAGAAGTGGCGACTTGGTATTACAACAGTAGTACGCAGAGTAGCTGGGGAGTGGGAAGATGAGAACTGGTGAGTGGGTAGTAGCTGAGAACTGGCGACTTTGTAGTACAACCTTAGTATGCGGAAACACAACAAGTACTAGACATAGTGTCGGGGAGTCTCTTCCATATACAAGGGCTAGTCGCGAGCTGAACGGCCAGAGCACACTAAAACATGCGCAGTGCCTGCTGTGTGTCACCTCGTGCTACTTTGTTGCATGTTTCTGTAGGAGAGGCGATTGGAAAATGAGCAGCATAGTGGTTCTTAACTACATCTAGAGCGAAGCACATGTCACCCTCAGAGCGCCTGCGCCAACAGACTGTGCATTTTCCGTGGCTGACCTTTCGGTGCTCACAGTGACATTGCAGAAGTCTCCATACAACTTGGGCCAACTACCACAATATCAACTCAACAGCAATGAAGAATATACTTGCAAGGAGTTTGAACGCGCCCCACAAGCTTTTGCAATATTCATTTCTCACATAAACCTTTACAAGGCAAACCGAGCCTTCTTATGGCTATGCATGTGCTATTTACCAATTTACAGCCCTCTAGCTCGTAGGTCTCCCTCTTTGCCCACCCATCATGCCAGGGAACCTTGGCATTGTTGAGGATCACTTCTTCAGCGTCACCCATGATGACCAGAGACAGGTGTGTCTCTGTTGGTCCTATGGAAACAGGATATACCATGACAACCAGCCAGAGCTCATCCATGCAAGATGGCCAAACCAGTCCATAGCAAACAGACACTGGGTTGCCCATAGAGAAACCTTGCAGTTTTGGCGAGTGGTCCAGTGGTCCAGTGGATGGCACGACTGGGTGAGGAACAACAGCCGCAACTTCACAGATGCCTACACCATCCAGATCTGCTTCGGGCGGACGCGCTAGACCCGACCAACTGTGTGTCTCATACCGTGACTTCTTCCTGATAAATTCTGTGTGGACGTCGTTCTGCGGAAGCACAACACTATCCTTGCTGTGTACAAAGACTAGTCGCGAGCAGAACAGCGAGAGTGCGCTAAAACATCTACAGTGCCTGCTGTGTGTCACCTCACGCTACTTTGTCGCGTTTTTCTCTGAGACAGTCAATTACTCAATGACAAGCATAGTCGTTGGTTAACTACATCCTAGGAAAGCTGTGTCCTGGAGTGAAGTCAACGTTTTTGCCCGGAAGATATATATCGATGGATGCCTTTCCTCTGACAGGTCACTGCTTCGAGACGCTTCTGGCGTGGCTGCCTCAGCATTTTCTGTGTTCATTCCAGCTCGGTTTTTAACCTCGTGCTCCTTTGTTGCATGTTTCTGTAGGAGAGGCGATTAGAAAATGAACAGCATAGTGGTTCTTAACTACATCTAGAGCGAAGCACATGTAACCCTCAGAGCGCCTGCACCAACAGACTGTGTATTTTCCGTGGCTGACCTGTCGGTGCTGACAGTGACATTGCAGAAGTCTCCATACAACTTGAGCCAACTACCAAAATATCTACTCAACAGCAGTGACGCATATACTTGGAAGAAGTTTCACGCACCCCACAAGCTTTTGCAATATTCATATCGCACATGAACCTTTACGACGCAAACAGAGCCTTCTTATGGCTATGCGTGCGCTATTTACTACTTTGCAGCCCACTAGCTCGTAGGTCTTCCTCTTTGCCCAGCCATCATGCCAGGGAACCTTGGCATTGTTGACGACCACTTCTTCAGCGTCAACCAGGATGACCAGAGGCAGATGATTCACACGTTATTGTTCAGTCTGCAGTGCAGCATGTGGTTTGAAGGCTTCGCAGATCCGTTCATTCGTGACTTTGGTTTCACTTGTCATCAAGTTGCAGTCCCTCACCTGCTTTGGCAGCTTCCGCTCCTTCCCCTTAGTGTCGTCTTCAGTTTTCTTTACGCGCATTGGGGATTAGTGCCTTGGGTGCACACGTGAAACGTGAGGAAGATCCTACACCTGAGACTCAGGTCCATGCTGATGCATGGATACCAATGCAATTGGCAGAAAGCCTCTGACTGGAGTTCCTCTGACAGGTCACTGCTTCGAGACGCTTCTGGCGTGGCTGCCTCAGCATTTTCTGTGTTCATTCCAGCTCGGTTTTTCCCGTGAGATTCCCTGCAGCCGTGCACGCTGCTTCTCCCTTACCAGCAGCTCACACGCTCATGACGATGAGCTGGGCTGTCACCGCTTGGCCGCCGGTGGGGG